GAGAAATAAATTACCCAATATAAAATCAATTACTCAATATAATTGACTCTTCCCTCCCTTTTCTTACATATGGTACATATGAAATAATAACTTAGGAGTCTATTTAAGCATGGTATAGTTTATAATCTATTAATCGAGAAGACTCAGTATCACCTGTGTGCAGCTTACAAAAACCATTGTGATAAACATATATTATGCAGGAAATTGATACATTTATTGAAAAACAAAGCATATCTGATTTGGGAGGAACAGTTTCATCCCTTTAACATCTGAGTTATTACTGAAGGCATAGCATGAATGATATTGGATGTCTGAGGGTGTCATTACTGAGAAATGTCAAACAAAATCAAAACCTTACATTTGAATACAGGTTTGCATTCCTCCACTTAAGGTGACGTTATCATTGGAAACAATAAAAGCTAATTGTTTTGATGTAGAATCTATACATTGAATCGTTAGAGCAGAACATAATGGTTGTATTGTAGCCTGAGTTTTGTGCAGCCTTTAGTTTTACCAGGTGGAAACATTGTCTATATAATGTGAATACATGTAGAACTAGACATTAAGAGGCCCCTGACATTAGGCCTATTTGAAACAATAGTAGGGGCTTTTACCAGCTCGCCCACTTACAGGCATCATAGCAGTATGAATAGCCTTAAAAACAACCCAATCTGCGGTAACGAGAGTCATGTATCTGAACCAAATGCCCTAAGTGAAGCCGTTAGTCTCATCTGACTGACCCAAGGGTTGGTGCTGGTGTGACAGGGAGGCTTCCAAGTGTTCATAGCAGATGTCATGCTTTCAGTTCATGGCTCAGTGGGGGGGAGCAGACCCATGTGAGACAGTATCAACGGCTGTAATGTTCAGTTTGAGGAGTGTCATTCTCTCTGGGAGCAGGAAATGGTGTCCATTCAGACCAGACCATTAATGTCATGTAGAGCAGCCATAGCATCTCTGTGACTGCACTCAGCCGGACTGCAGCAGGGCAGAACTGGGTGACTTTTAGTGAAGCCGTCCAAGGCCATAGACAAAATGGAACCACGTACTAACAAAAGGGACACAAGGTCATCAATGTCTCTCTTTACCTTTGGCCTAATTGTAAAACAAATTAGTGGAAGAAATGTGGAACCCTAATCCATCATCATGTGACATTTAGAGTTAATTTAAATAATTACTTATGGGTTGAAGTCAAATTAACATTAACATTAGAACTAAAGTCAGTCAAAATTGGACTTGCACGGATCAGAATCTAATCAATACACCATTTTCCCAGCTCTGTAATGAAAAGGATATCAAGATTAGGTACATTACAGGAGTGTTAAAACATCCAAACATGCACACTTATCTTATTCTAGTAGAGATTAGAGGACAGGTCTAATGTTGTGAACAAAATGATCAAGTCAAAGTTATTTTATTTATTTGATCTTATGTACCACATTTAATTTAATAATTAATCTTAAATTACTAATAACTTTAAAGAAGGCAACAATTTACAATGTGGATAAGGTGACTACTTATCCAAAGTGTGTGGGTGTGTGTGGGTGTGTGTGGGTGTGTGTGTGGGTGTGTGAACAGCTTGTCTGCCCAAGGTTAAAACATTTGGGACAGCAGTGAGAATGTTATGAGAAACAATTTGTTGCTTAGACTGAACTCGAAAGAAGCTAGACTGGAACATTTTAAATAAATCAAAACACTTGCACATTAATTAAATACATTTGACATTTAGCTTGAGCTGGGTTCAATACTTTCTTTATGGTATTTAAATTGGGCTCAAGTAGAACCTTTACATGGATTTGGCTTGCAACACAAAGTGATACCGATCTCTGTCTGTTATGATTTGAAAGTCTCATGATTTAAAGTGTAGGGCTGTGAAGGAGAGGCCCTTGGAAAACAACCTCTACTTCTTTGTTAACTGTAATTACTTATTGTAAGGAGATTGCAACATTATACTTTTTAAATAATTGCTCAATTCATTTAACACATTTATTATGCACACCAGCGACCTTTACTCTTTTGTTCATAAGCCCGGTTTCAGAAAACTTGTCAGTAGTTTAACAACTATTAGAATTTTAGTAATGTCTATGGAGACCAATTGGTTGATACGAGAAATCATTTGAAGCAGTTTAATAAAGAATGTTAAACTATATTTAAAACTGTAATTAAACTTCAACTTATATTAATTATCTGATTCCAGTGGCCAGTTGGAACAGATAATCAACAAAGTTTCCATTTTGCAGCAACAGCGCAAAAGGTTTCAACAATAATTTGTATTATGTCTGAGTCTAGTTCTGTCTTATCAGCTTTGTTTCGGAATGTGTTCAATACATTACGTTTTTTTCATTATTACCATACAATACATAGATTTAAGAATAAATGAAACAAATAATACAATATTGACCTAAAACAGCAGACAGATTTTGCCACCCTGACCTCCTCAGGCAGGGTTTTTTTACGACCAGCAGTGATGCCTCTTAGGGTCTTAGGGTGCAGGACGGGGCATAGGGTTTATAAAAGGTCACAAACATATCTTAACATACCAGCAATACAATTTAAGAATGTATTCTTAAAGTAATATAATCTTCTCTTCTTCTTACACCTACAGCGCACACCCTGAACAGTGTGCTTCTTGTTTACATTTCCTCTGCACACTCAGATGCAGCGCACACCCTGAACAGTGTGCTTCTTGTTTACGTTTCCTCTGCACACTCAGATGCAGGACATAAAACACTCTTTTGCTATTTATTTTCATTTTGCAGCACATCTATACTACCAGAATTTTGCAAAACACGATATATTATTTATCTTTCTCAAGTCATTTACTTTTGGTGAGTTAACTAAAGCTTAGTTTATTTTACCCTGGCTATGGACTGATTCATTATTAGTTGTTACAAAACATGCACAAGACGGCGGTTAGACAAACCAATATAGACCCCTGATACAAACAATCAGACAAACAAACATGATGAACTCATAATAAACACCAGCGTGACAGCAAAAGTTCATCCAGCTCAATTTAGTCCGGATTAAAGAGGTTTCAGAGGGGGTAGGGACTATTATGATCTCTCCCAATGGGAATCCAGTGGGGTACCTTGACTCGTACCTCCACCCTTGTATACAAGTCCTTAGATCGGTGCCTGAAGACCGTCCAAGAGCAATAACTAGCTTATCCTCTTGCGACTCCACTATCCCTGCTCTAGTGGTGCTATGCCCCCCCGATCTGGAGCACATAGACTTTTTTCCTCTACCCTTTCTATCCGAAACCACACAGTTAACTGTAGTCCTACTCGACCAGCCTACACACCTCCCATCATGCTCATCCCAACGATGAAACACAGTTTTGCTCTACACTTGCATACCACTGCCCACCCATGATCAATTAGCCTATAATTTTATGTATGCACCCCGGACCGACATCAGCTCCTCCAGCAATGTAGGGAGCCTGTCGCATCAGGTAATGCACGCACCTCGCACCTGCCAGCACATCGTAAACGGCCACAAGCCACGAGAGTGCTTTTAAACAGTCTCTTTTTTAATAGAGACGGCGGTGGTGTGAGTTAAAGTTATAGACAAAAACTGTGATTTTCTCCCTCTGAGTTCACTTCACCAGCTCATGCAGATACGGGGAGGTATTTGACACACATTCCCCGGAGCCGCAGCTGGAGCCGTGTTTTTTTTAGAGGCGCTGGGGGTAATATCTATGGCTGCTTTAGTCAACTGCTAGTGTTGGCCGCTGAAACCCCCGGAATCTCGGCGATTTGTTCATTACAAATCTCTATTTTGATTTCACACAGAAGTTCCACTTTACTGCTGCCCTCATTAAGATCTTTTTAAACATCTCTGCGACTGCCTGTGCGGCACACATGCCCCGAGCAGCAAAACATCTCTGCTACTGCCTGTACGACACACATGTCCCGAGCAGCACACACAGAGGGAACCAGCCAAGACAGAGTCCCTGGATGATCCCCTGGGGTTACTAGCCCCAAATGTTCATTAACCAAAACGAAACGCAGCCGCTTAGCTTCACAGATAATTTTAGGATACCGTCAATCACAGATTCTGGTAAGGCAATGTCCAAATGTAGATTTGAAATCACACTTACCAGTCTCTGAAGATCTGTTGGTATCCTGCCGACAACGCCAATTTGTGGAGGAAACTTCTGTGTAGTAATGCATGGAGTCACCGACTCAGGAAGGAGACACGGTGAGAGTTGGAGCTTTGATGTCAAACACTGATGGGTTTATTCAGAGTATTCGGCCGGAGGATTCACATCACAAATCAAAGAGTCAGAGGTTCTGACCACACGGTAGAGTTGCCACGTCAATTCTGAAGAACCTCTCTCTATGCTAGACCTTTTAACAGGTTCACAGAGAGAAATCAACATCTCTGAAGGAGTAGACTAAACACTGAATCACCTGCGTCCGACGCTCATGCCCTCAAGGATTTCACATCCTAGAGCCCACAAACACCGATAAAGAAGTGCCCCAGTGTTCCCACAACAATTACCCTTCGTGCCAGTCAAGTTGACCGGTCACACACTGGTGACAACAACACATATGGCACCAAGGCCTTTCCTTAAAGGAGATAACACATGTCAGAGTAAAAGGTTAGATATCTAGAAGAATTATTCCTTAACACCGTTAGCATACTGGTTTCTGTTAGGTAACTCCTTTATGTTACAGGATGAATCCTCAGTTTATTGACTTGTTGTTTCTAGTCTCCTCCTGACTGACAGAGTCCTGGAGGTGTGAGTTTCTCCTCTTCAGTGAAGCAGCTTTATTACTGTCTCCTATTGTCGCAGACAAAGTAGCATTAAATGGAAATACTCAAGTAAAGTAAAAGTACCTCGAAATACTTGAGTACTTGAGTAAATGTACTTAGTTACTTCTCACCTCTGCTATGAACCTACGAAGTAGCTGTAGATTAGTTTTGTTGTATCTGTCGGTTGTATTGAGTTGTCTTGTTTTGTGTCAGCTGTAGTTGTGTTGATTATTGCAGAGACCCAGCCGGAGAAGGAGAGCAGCATGGAGGAGAACAAGGAGACCCCTGGAGCTCAGGTCAGTGTGCACTTCATCACAATATATTCCTAATTCCAGCGTTTCCGCCAGGCGGGCGTCTTGCCGTCATTTGACGCCCTTATTCAGCTCGGAACGCCCTGAACTCGAGCCGAGGGCGTCCAAAAGAGTTTTTATCGCTTGAAATGATGAAAAGGACAAGGACATCCCTCTGTTGGAGGGGCAAAGGAGTCTGGTGGGATTATTTTCGCCGCCAGCAAAGCGTGTTCCTGTGACGGAAAGTGTACTGCCGGCGAGCCTTGACGGGGGGTGCCAGTGGAGCACGCGCGTGAACTAGCGAAACTGAGGCTCTGGTAAACTGTGGTAACATGAAGAGCCGTTTGGGAGCCGAAAGAGCCAGCTCTTCTTATGCGGCTTTCACACCAGCGCTTTTCCCTTTCTAGCTCCTAGCGAGAGCTTTTCTGGTTCAGCTCCGGTTTCCCTTTTCAGCTCCCGCTCTGTTCACACCGCCCAGAGTTGCCGCTGCTGCGTCATGACGTCACAGTTTACGTCGCTAATTTTCTCCCACAACAACAACGGGCCGGGGACTGCGTCGGGTCGATGATCGTGTTGCTTTTAATCATACAAAGCCAGATTAAATTAAATAACGACTTCTCCAACCTTATACTTTTCTCCAGAGTGCCGTGGTTCATTGTTTATTCATGTGTTTCAGCGGCATTTACCGACCGCTACAGTGCTGGCTGCTCTTCCACGGGAGTTTATTCTCCCGTTAGCTCCGGGTTAGCTCACACGGCTCTAAAGTATTCACTGTCTGACTGTCACACAAGCAGCTGATACATATCCCCAGTTCCCCTTAAGTGAATGTGTGTCAGTCTGAATTGACGCTGTTTGGCATCACAACGCTGTTATGAAAGTTTCTCTTGGTATAACATGGGTGATGTTAGCATAGCAACCGAAGCTAAACTGACTACTTGCTAAGCCGTTTTCTACAGGCACATTTTACCGGCGTATTTTTCATTATGATTCTACTTGTGATAGTCGGACATGACAACCTGTGCAGCCCATGTATTGATTCCATCCGATAGCTGCTATAATAACAAACAAAACGTCTGCCTGCTCTCCACAATGATCAATAACAGCGAACGGATGGTCAAAGTAAGGTTTCCTGCACGCCTCGACGTAAGAGACGCCGCGTCATAGCTCCGAAGCTCTTGCCTCTGGACCGACAATTTTTTGAAGCTGGAAGTGAACCGCATTCCGGAGCTATGACGCGCCGCCGCTGCGGTGTGAACAGGAAAAAACGGCGCTTTTCCAGCTCCAGCTCCGAGCAGGAGCTGGAAAAGCGCCGGTGTGAAAGGGGCATTAGTGAGCCGAGCCAAATGATCCGACTCACTAAAAAGAGCCGGAATTCCCATCACTAATGCGTAAAGAGATAGTATCTATTAGGGACGGCTCAATTCAAAATTCAAGTCTAGGGTTTCCCACACATAGACTTTACTTGGGCCGCCCAGGTTTAACGGCCACCAAAGTATATTTCGCGACCCATTCATTATTATTTTGTTTGTATCCGTCCGTGAGCACGACACCATCTGCAATCGATTTACTAGTGGACAATGATTCCTCGCTTGCTGTACCTGTTCGCTCTGCTATCGCGTGGAGGGTCTGCTAACAAGCGACCAACAGAAAGGTTCATGTTAATGTTGTTGCACCTCACAAATGCCTAACACTGTTATCCCCAAATGAAAGATCACAACCTGTTTGGAAATATACAATATGAATGCACAATATGGTTAGATATAGGTTAGAACGTTGTTGTATACGATACGATAATACTTTAATTGTCAAATCAAGTCTGAAATGTGACTTGCGTCACAGCAGCTCCATGTGTAACATCAACATAGACAAATAAGACAAACACAATACATGAGAAACAAACAACAAACATGTAACATAACAGCAGGATCAGTGAGAGCTGCTCAAAGAGCCTTCAGCGTGCATCTGATCTGGATTCAGCTCTGTGTTTACTGAGAGGATTGACTCTCTTTTTTCTGTTCTCACGGTCATGGCCTTTCTCCATGGAGATCTTTTCTTGCCAGTCACTTCCTTTACCTTAGTTGGAGCAATGGCATCTATAACATTTTTTATTTTTGAATTAAAATGATCTACTAGCTCATTTACTGAGATGTTAGCAGGGGCAAGTGTGGAAGAAACATTCAGAGTAAACATTTCCCTAGTGCTTTCAGTTAAATATCACTTTGTGGTTACCTCTTTTTGAACATTTGTGTGAACAGAAATAGAGCTCTCGAAGGAATGATCAGAGAGTGCAACATCAGTCACCACAACCTCAGAGATATTCAGACCCTTTGAGATCATTAAGTCCAGAGTGTGCCCCTTATTGTGCGTGGGCTCCGTCACATGCCGAGTCAGTCCATAGTTATCAAGAAACCAAAACAGTTCTTTAGCCCCTCTTTAACTAACTAACTCATGAACTAATTACAGATCCCGTTCACACCGGAATAAGTCCCTGGGGGAGGATTAGGCAAATGAAGCCGCTGACGTCACTTCTTCTTCTTCTGCTTTGGGTTTACTGGCAGGCCGCAAACAACTTCACAGCGTATACTGCCGCCCGAAGTCACCGGAGTTGGGGACTGGCTACTACTGAAGCCTTCCGAGTAAATCGCCAGAACGCCGACACCTCCTCATCTCCACCGCTCCCATGTTTTCTTTTGTGTTGCCATAAATAAGTCTCTCAGCGTTTCTGCGCTGGGCTAATGCTAATGCTAATAATGCTAATGCGAGGATAATAAAATGGTGGCTTCACAAAACTTTTTGGGAGTTTTACGGGGTGTGGTTTGCAATCCGCCCAGCCAATCAGACATAGGAACCTTTTTCTCCCATAAAAGTACCTGCTCTCTAGCAGGGACGGAAAACTGATGGAAAAGGGGGTAAAAAGGTTCTCATTAACTAATTTTAGTTCCGGCTCTTTTTGGTGTGAACGCGACATTTCTGAACTATATCGGAACTAAAGTGGGAAAAGTACTGCGGTGTGAACGCGCCTATTGGTTGTGATGGCAGATGACAGGGTTTTGTTAACCTTCACAAGTTGCTCTCTACTGGTGAGGAAAGCGGCATACCAGTAAATCAGGTATGGATTTACTTCCATTTTGGCCATTTTTGGCACCAAGATGTCTGCTTGTATTGTGTTGAATGCTGCTGAGAAGTCTAGGAAGAGGGCTCTTGCATAGGTGTGACAAATGACAATAAAATAGCGGTATGCAACGTGTGTGAAGCAGAAATCCTGCAGCTCCACCCGCTGTGACGGACCAGTGAGCGGAGCAGAACACACATTAAGAGTTAGACCTAACGCACTTAGCTATTTTATCTACCTCTGGAACAAGCTAAACTAGTTATAAATATATTTATTCTTCACTGTCGGGTCACTCATTACTGGATCAGTGAGCTGCAGGAGATACTGACAGGCTGTCAGGAGAGAGAGAGGGAGAGAGAGAGAGAGAGAGAGAGAGAGAGAGAGAGAGGGGGAGAGAGGAAAAGAGAGTGCTTCCGCTCATTTCTCCCGTGTTATTATCCCAAGTTAATGTAAACTTGAATAATGTACTTCATTTGAATTTAATAATTATGTTGGTTGTTTGTGGAAGCGCATCATGTATCATCTATTGATTCTTTTTTTTTAAATGTTTATGTTTGTCCATCACTTGATGACTTTAATGCTTTGTAGAGACCAACATTACATACATACATGTTGTCCAGTATTGTTAAAGAATTAGTCACATTTAATCAAAAAAATGGTTATGTGGGATGGAATTGCTACCTTCCTTCTTTATCTGGGCTTGGGACTGGCAAAGTGACCCAAAAGAGACACACTGGGTGTTTCTCAATCGCGAGTACGCTTGCTTGGTAGCACATGTCTGCCGAGCATCTTGCTTCAGAAGCGAGGCAAGAATACTTCCTGGCATTCGGAAAACGAAGAGTGGAACACGCTAGCAAGTGTGCAGGTGTGCGTCATATGAGAGGCCCCGCCTTACATTTTCCGCCACAGATTTTGGGGAAATTGGTCCGTGCGTAAAGCATTGTGGGGATTTTAAGACCGCGGAGTCTACTCATGTGCAGCCTCGATATTTCTCCAAACGGAGTTCGCTGGGCTCGGTAGATTTCCAAGTATGCTGGAGATTGGAACAGTACTTCGGCGGCACTCGATGACGTAGTATGCTTGAAATAGTGGCTCTGAAGCAGCTTTACTCGCGATTGAGAAACACCCACTGCAAGCCAGGGCGAGATCAGCGATGGCTTTGCGCATGCAAGATTAATATAGTCTGGACGCGTAGTGTGTCTCTTTTGGGTCACTTTGCCACCTCTCTGCTCGAGTGCAGCTGCCGTGCGAGGCTGCCTGTGAGTGCTTTGAGACGGCGGAGGGGCTCAGCACCCGCTGCTCGTTGAGGAAAGTAACTGCGTAACAATTACATGCTATCACGTCAGATTCTCCAAACACTAGTGCTGGGGGGAAACGATTATTTTGAAAACGATTAATCGGGCGATTATTTTATCGATTAGTCGACTAATCTAACGATTATTTTTCTGTTGTTCGATTAATAAAAAACATAATGTATCTCAAATAAATACCAAAAAATTCTTAATAATATAGTTTTTTTTTTATTGCACAGCAAAATAAGAAATATAGAATAAAATTATACAAAATAAAAAGGCCAGCCTGTTTACTCTTACAGTCCAACAAAGGCCTCATGTCTTTGACGATCACCTGTAAGATAAAACAAATATATTATTATTATTATTATTATTATTAATAACAACACAGCACCTTTCATAGAGCCATGTTGCTTACAGTGTAAGAAGCTTAATTATTACACAATCCAAACAAGGACACAAATAAAAAGGCCAAGTGAAGAAACACCTATAAACTAGCTAATAAATCAGGACAGCCATTCCCTCCTAAAAGATGCTCAAAGGAAGCAAATAATTACTTACTCTCAAGATTCTTTTGCTGAGTTCGGCTGCCTTCTGTGGAG